CTTCTCCTTCTCTTAGTATATAATAATATTAATATTGTATAATAGTACTAGACTATGACATAGTATAGCCAAATACATACATGGCTCAAAATCTATCTAACTATTATCTAATTATCTAACTATCTAACTACGACTATGCCGCATATTGACTTTCCAACATATTTACTATTGTTTGACAAGAGGGTTCAATGTGTTTGTGTGTGGCAGTTTCATTGTGCTGCAAACAGGTTCTATGCCTACACCTCGAGCAGAAGAGGAATCCACGGGAAACGATGTCGATGACAATGATGATGATGAAATATATGCTCCGCCTGTGTTAGATGACGGTGGAAGATGTGACCTTGCCCTTGCAGACAAATACGTTGCACAGCAGTTGTCTGATTACCCCAGGGTGAATGACATGATCTTTCACACAGCCAATGCTCCTTGACATTTTTGGTCTACTTTCCTTACCGTTCAGCTTTTGGTTGGTCACGTGACAAGAGCAAAAGTCAACGACAACAAGCAAAAGAACAACAGCAGCCAGCAGTAACAACAACAACAACTGCTGCTACTACTACCATGGACCATGACCATGACCATGCATTGTTACTACTGCTACAGTGCTACTACCATGTGCAAGTCGTGCGAGGTCATGAGTGCCTTGATGTTGAAGCACCACTGTGAGTCACCTCATTCTCGGATCTATGCAAACCTCCAAACTCAATGTGAGAGTGAATTCCCGATTGCTTCAATTTGTACAGGAACCGGATCGTTTCTAGGATATGTTTTGTTAGTTAGATTTTGTATTTGTATGTTGTGTCATGTTGGTGTCACGGTTTATTGATCAATCAACTGTCACGAGTCATTGAGGTTTGAATCAGCTGCTACGGCTGCGCTTCAATCCTTAATGTGCACTTTTGGCTTTCCAAATGATACAGCATCGGTCCCTTGCCTGAAAGTTCTGCTGACTTGATTCCTTTCATAAAATTAAGACTGGTAAAGGCAACATGAAGAAGACCCAAAAGATCGGACAGATTCCTCTGCGAGGTGGAACCACTATTTGGTGCAGAGTGTGTTGCCTTCAAGGCTGAGTACGCTTTGCGAGGGATGGCCGACAACTATTGCCTCTTCAAGGACCGATTGAAGTTTATGTGGGTACGGGCGGGTGCAGGTTGTCTTTTCTTGTGAATGCAAGTTCTAGTTGTAAGAACTGTGGATTGAATATCTTACTTGATTTTTGACACATCCCAACGTTTGATGGATTCATTGTTGACAACTAGACTATGACTCTGACTATGAGTTATCCTTTCGCAAGGACGCCACACTGCTCAGGGATGATGAGCAGAGGTTGTGTGCAACACACAATGGTCCTTGCCGAGTGCCAAGACAAATTAATAGTTTCGGTGCAGGATTCTCCTGCACATCGTACAGCAACTTGAACAAGGATTGCATGAAGAACGCCAATGCTATGGAGAAGAACTCCAGGAATGATCCAACAGATCCTAAGTCATGTTGTTAGCCAGGATTCAGGTTGTGTCATGAGTTGTGAGTTGATATTTGCTTTTAGGCAGGTGACTTCAAATCAGTAAGTAAGAGTAAAATGCATTGCCACATTACAGCTAAGGGCAAAGTTGCCAGTGTGAGCACCTTCTCTGCTTGCTGCGACGTATTGTCCCTGTGTCAACCAATGTGGGCCCTCTTTGAGAATGTGCAGACAATAGATAGGGAGGTTGACAAAGACACGTCCCTCATCAACATTTAGTATCAGTCCTATCTCCTAACTAAGATCAATGTCAGATTCAATGCCATCAAATCATCAAATCGTATCTAATGAACTGAATGCTGCGATTCGATGAGGCAGACAAATCTTGATTTGTGCCTGGTGGAGATTGGGAGGTTGGGATATTCGAGCCAATGCTACTTGCTGAAATCCTCATGGTTCGGATTGCCACAAAGCCGCTACAGGATCTACATCCTTTGTCTCAAGAAGAACACTCGAAATGTCAGCTGCACTGCCCAGGAATTCTTTGAGTCAGTGAAGCTGTTGCTGACCAAGATGTATATCAAACCACCGGATCCAGCTTCTTGACTTTGTTCATTCATTAGATTGATATGATTTGCACTCTGATATGATTTGCTATGTAAGGTATGCAGCACATGATTCACCTGTAGTTTGCACGAGTTGTTTCACCTGTCAGCTGAACTAGCTGGAGGCTGAGTTCTTGTTCCCTGACACCCACGAGTCTGTGCAGCAGTATCTGGGGGACTTGCAGCACATGAGGAAAAAGGAGAACCTAAAGGATGCAGAATCTGAGAAGGAGAAGAATCCTACATGGATTGGTTTGCATATGTCTATTGCAGAGAAACGTGTCTTGTCTAGGTTTTGCACAGAAGACAATCAACCAACACAACCAACGGCTGTAATTGCTCATCATTTCTTACATGAATGAGGCGGATTGTCTTGGCCACTGCAAATCAGCGAGACCATTACAAGCTCCCCTTGGTTTGCTGTTCTGACTGACAGGGCGAAGGAAGTGACTTGGCTCACGCTGTATGACTTGGCATGTCTGTGTTCATCCATCCTTGAATCCCGAATCATTGACACACCGTCTGACCATGTTTGCTGTCTTGAGTTGCTGAGGTGGTGGGATTTGCTGCTCATGACAGGGAACTTGGCAAGGATGTCAGGTTTGCCGATATCTACCACTCGGCCAACAGGTTTGCAACCGGGGGGCAGTATCCTCCCAATAGTTCTTCCACGCAGCCAGATTTGGTGCTTTGACAGGAATCGCTTGTTGTTGGGTTCCGAGCTGCTTGGCATCCAGGGCCAAGAAAATGATGGTGCAGGCTTTAGCCAGGCTCAACTGACAGATCTTGCCGGCAACGCGCTACTTGGTCTAAGTTAGACAGACAAACCAACGGAACAAAACACCAACCAACTAAAGGTCGACCAAACACAATACCTTTTAAACTTGTGGAGGCAAAGGCACAAACTCAAACAAAGAAGACTGACACTTAACCAATGAAATGAAATGATATGATATGATATATCGACTCATATATAAACATCATTCACTATTCCAAAAGACAGGCTGCTACTTCAAGCATCCTCTACCTCCATCCCCTGAGCCATTCTTGTTTTCAGTGTGGTTGTTATTGTCTCTTCAGATATTACATGAAGTGACAACCCCTTCAGGTTTAGCGGCAATGTGCTGGTGGCTGTGTGTTTGGCCGTCTATGCATCGCTCCGCTTGTCAACTGATAGCGAAGATGAGGAAACCAACGCCATTGACAAAATGGTGAGCGGTGAGCGGATTGTTCCGCGCAGCTGGCCATGCTTAAAGCACATGGCCCGCCCAAATGCAAAATTTTAAGTTTTAACACTTGTGCGTTGTGAGGTGCAAAGCGAATCCTCTCGTGATTCTAGTGGTGCTGTTGTTGTTGAATTCCTCTTGTACGCCGGACCATTGGACAGGGCATTGGTCTTTTTGCGTACCTCATCTCAGAGGCCAAGCTAAACAAACACTATGCTGGTCGAAAACAGAACCCACCCGACCGCTACTCGTCCGTTTACTCGCTCGCTCGCTCGTTTACTCGTCCGTTTACTCGCTCGCTCGCTCGTTTACTTGTTCGCCTACTCGCTCGCTCGCTCGTCTGCTCGTCCGCTTACTCGCTCGCTCGCTCGTCTACTCGTTCATATACACGTCCGTAACACGTCGTACAGCCCTCGTATGGAGGTCGCGCATGTTTCAACATAACCCCATTAACGAAATCTTGGATTTAGATAATATATATATATATAAAATATCCCCGTTGGAATTACCGGTAGGTCTGGGGAGCGTGATTTTATACACATAAATCGCCTGCCCCAACATCCAGCAAGCAATCTCTCCACTATAAAATGAAGACTCGACATGAATCAGTAAATCTCTATAAAATCAAGTCTCAACATCTAAGGCGCCCGAAATCAGAAATAAGACGTAAAATATGATCTAGGTTTGAGGTAGATTTACCTTTACTTTGCCCAGGTCGGAATTGAATTTATAGTGAGTTGTTTGGGTTCAACTGGGCTGAGACTTGAATTTATAGGGATTTGGTTTGCAAAATCTGACAGCATCAGCGATGAGCAGGTTCTTTCCCCTGTGCGCTTGTCTGATTGTTCTGATGTCCAAAGCAATCCGCTTGATTGCTGGTTCCCCGATCGATGCTTTCAAAGAAAGTTGCGGTATGCTACGGGTGAGAGTCCATGATGTCTTTGATCAAGATCATGAACGGCTTTCTGTTCTTGCCTTCCAATGAATCCTTGCAAAGTTCAAGAACCAACTTCTAATTATTGTAAGGCTTGGTCTGCTATAAAATCGGGGCTCATACCACCTCACTCCTATAAAATCAAATGTCAAAACAGGCAGACCTCTATCTATATGGCGGCCCACATAATTCTGGCCACAAGCTACCAGGTTGACACATCATTTTATAGCAAGCCTCCCTATAAAATGACATGGGGTTTTGTACTCGAGTACGTCCATTTTATAGGGGATATTCCATCGGGGATTATAAAATTCCGTCGTGCCATTGATTGAGCTCCATTGGTTTCGGTGGGAAATGACAGAATCCCAGCTCCCCAAACTGATGCTTGTGCTATGAACCTGTTGATTTGGTTTGATCAAATCACATTGTGGGTGGCGGCGCCTGTGTGTTTTGCACATCCTGTCAATAGTCCTGCCTTCGGTGTATCGAAAGCAGGCTGATGCATAGCTGCATAGGAGGACAATGCCAGTGTCATGTGTATCAGTGATGATTAAGAAGGGTCTTCCATACCTATCAACTACCTATCAAAGACGCAGTTCACAACGCCACTGTGGTGTCTGCTGCATCTCGAAAACAACCGATGGCACCCCTTTAACCCGAAAGTAGGCCAGGCTGGGCTTGCTTCCTTTTCCCTAAGGGCGTTCGGTTTCCATCTGCTTTCCAAGCACACCACTGAACACCACCACCCGTTTCGTCCGAGGCTGGTGCACCTTAGGTGAGGCGAAGACGAGGTCCAAGAAGTCTTTCACACCTCAAAACTGCTGAGTGCTACCCTGGCAGCTTGCTGCTTGAATCTGAGGCAAAAATTGCTCAAATAAATGTCTGCCCCTGGAAACTGGAAACCACAGAGCCCCGCATAAGCCCACAAATGGCCCGATCGGCCCTGCCAAGCGACGTATCCACGAGCCTTCTGGGTACTCCTCGGATCCGAACGCACGTGCCGAGGCGGTGTGGAGCGACGGGTCTCCAAGAGTCGGAGACGAACAGCAAGCGACGGACTCACATGTGGTTTTCGGACGGATCAGGCTGAGCCCTTTCACATGCTCGAAAGTATAGGACTAGTAGGACGCAGGATTTTTGTATATATTATATATTCAGGATTCACTTATGTATTATTGATGCTTGCATATATTTGCATAGCTAATTGCATATATATATATATTACTGTGTGCACAGTATATTGCAGTTGGGTGCTGCCCAACTTCTTCGATAGGCACCCCAAGCACGCTTCCAAAGGGGGCTCCCACACCTTCCCACACTCTGCTTGTCAATTCTCCTCCAGCAAGACATGGGCCTCATTCAATGGGAACCCAAGGAACTTCATCAATTCGATGTAGCCTTGGGAATTCACATCCGGTTGGCCAAGTGCTTAGATGTAATTGATCTTATTCAATGGCAGCCGTAGTCTCTCAAAAGAACACGTTGAGAACAAGCTCTGCAGCACCGTGTCTGCTTGCCTTTCCTGACATTAACACATATACATCAAACAAAAAGAACAGCATTGCCGGCTCCTTGCCCCTTTAGTCCCGATCCACCCCCCTTCCCTTCAACAAGATAACATCTCAAAACGTACGCATACGTGTTTAACACAAAACCTCCTCCCTGTCGATTTGCCCATTAAACATCGCTAAACAGATTCGCTTCCAAGAAACTCTGTCGATCTAAAACCTCTGAACCTCTCAGCTTGGCATTGAACATCGCCTCCACTCGGCACCTCCTTTCCTTGGCCACGAGCTGTGGTGTCCGCGCGACGCTGTGGTGTTTCTTTGCGCCACGGCGTGTGGAGAGGGCTGACCTTCTGTCAAGGTCAGGACTGCCAGGATACTGGTACACGATCGACAACAAACATGCCCCCTGAGAATGGCACCCCATGGCATCCCCACAGACCATGGTTTGCTCGTATCGTACGAAGGTGCTCTATGGAGCCCTTCTCTCTCTCTCTGTGACCGGTCACATATCAGATGTTGAGAAACAGCTGCCTGCTACCGGTACTCAAGCAACAGCCTATGCCGACACAATTGCCGTACCAAGGTAAGGAAACAGGCATCGTAATCAGGATTCTTGACTTGACTTCTACAGCTTCTTCCTTCCGAAGCGTTGGACGAATTGCTCTGAGAAGCTCTGTCAGCCCGTGCAGTGCACCTCTCACTATGTGTGTTGCTAATGGGTTCAAGCGATAGATTTGATGAATGAGAAGTTTTCGTGGTGTCGAAGAAGCTTGCTTTTGAAGGTGATTCAACACTAAGTCTCTCTCTCTTTCTCTCTCTCTCTCTGCCGTTCTTCGGGCCAAAGTGTTCCCCAGCTACTAGATACATTCTTTTGTTGATTGTCCGACATGTTCTTGATGCATTGCTTGCTTCCGTGGCGTCGCGTACACACGTATGGTGCCCTTGGCGGAAACATCGACTCTCCACCATCTGCTACCGAAGCTCGAAAGACTCCAGAAAGCATGGTCTTTGTCAGAAAAAACGGTTATCCTGCGAGACACTTCGTGATGATGTATTGGGTATACCCCATTCCCTGTAATTCACAGTGGATCACGATGGTCTCTAAAAAGTGATAATTGTTTGCTGACTGTTGCAGGTAATGGGACGCCCCCGAATTATGTACAAAAATGAGGAAAGCACTCAGGAAGCTGCAAGCTTAAACCTGTCTATCTCACTACCTGCCCGAATCTGCCCTCTGCCCGGCCATCTGCTGTCTGGCCACATCTTGCGCGGACCCACTTTTTTGGTCCTGTGCGCGAAGCAGCAAAGGGCAAACATACATCAAAACACAGTCTAACAAATCTAATGATGCTGCATGGCATCTCTCTCTCTCTCTCTCTGTCTCCCTGGAAGCACGGCTGAGTTGATACGCAATCCTGGTACTGCCCCGGTTTTGATAAAGCAAGATTGTGAAAATGGAGCACGTCTTTTGCCTAACAACCTTTTCCAGAATGCCTACGCCCTGCTTGTTGTTCCTCTCAGTGCGTGCTTTCCCTGTGTCCCAGTGTTTCCCGGCACACGTCTCTAGCCACTATGCATGCACTGATGTAACAGATTGCAACAAATTACTTTATATATCCAAGTTTGTGGATGAACCCGATGTCCTGATCATGTGGTCTAACATGAGGCGCAGGCCGCCTCTGACAAGACGTCAATCAAAACACAGGAGATGCATGCCAAGCAAGCTGTCGCTGTTCTCACAACTCTGAAGCTGCACCGAATTCCTTGCAGAATATTGATAGTGTGCACAAATGCCCAAAGTAAACCTTTCCAAAAGGCAAACGCAACTATATATATTATATATAGAGTAGTTGTGAACATCCTCTTCGTTGCTTTCCAGCCTCACATTTGGCTGTTGCCTCAGCAACGGTTTGTCATGGCTTGACTGTGACTAGGAATCATCATGTTAAGTCTGAAGCATGTGCTTTCCTGTTGAATTTGACGTGTATCAACACCGTTACCCTGAGTGGGGTGGTACATTCCAAGCCACCAATATGCCAAGGTCAATAGTCAACCCACTTACCGACCAATATCGTTTCGGCGGTCTCGCCGCGGCTTCGCCGGAGCCGATGCCGATGGCCAGCCAGCCACTGCTGTACCGAGGTGCTGCGCTGGAGGAGTTGGATGTAGCCTGGCGGAAAAATGGTGGGAAAAACACGGACAAAATGAGTGTTTACCCGACCTTCTGCTTACCAGCAAGCGGTTCCAGGGACAGGTTCCAGGCCTTCAAAGCCTTCTTCAGAAGGAAAAGCACTCCAGGTGTTTCCCTCTTTGCGTCGTGATCACTGGCCTGTCTTGTACTCATGAACAACGCCAAGTGGCCGAGTGTTCAGCTAATGTTTAGTATAGCTATTCCTTTCTGGTCGGTTGCATGACATCACAACATCCTTGACACAGGGAACGCAACTTGATCAAACATTTTGAAAGGGCTGTAGGGCTTCCGAGCCAGCAATCAACATGTCCTTTCTGTATCAACATTTTTTCCTAGCGGATCTCACTGGAATTCCATGTGTGGCATTTCAAACCTCATCGAAACCTACTGCCAGTCCTCCTCAAAACCCATTTTTTTGGCACAGGCCTTCCCATCTTGTCATAAACATGCTGTAATTGAACACGGGCGAGCAGCTCTCCGGGAGCTTTGTGTTTCTTGCACTCAACATTTAAAAAACCGCTTTGATTACACCTCCTTCTAGCTATAGGGTGCTTATAGGCCAAGAAATGGCCCGCCTGGCAAATGAAACTCTCTACTTGGTTCAATGTACAACCGGCCTGTCGGAGATCTCAGACTTCTTGTCGCTCTCCATGGCAGGCTCAGAGCTAGTGGTGCTAGATGAAGTCACAAGTACATAGAATCTGGATACCTCATGAGATCTCATGAATGTCCGAACGCCCCTTTCTATGCCGTTTATCTGTGCACTGCACTCGAAAGACATCTGCTGGAGCACAAACATCTTGGAACTACACAACGCGTCATGAAACGAGACCATCGCCAAGCCCCTTTGTGCTGAGCCCATCGCCAAGCATCGCGGCAACGGGTTCTGTTTCAAGCACAATGTTCAAAGGACTTCATCATGCTATTTCTAGCTATCTATCTATTTCTATTTCCTATATCTGAGGCATTCCCATGGCAGTGGCAGTGACTTAAGGCGTGCTTTGATACCGTCTGGAAACACATTGACATCTCGGTTGCTTCTGGACAAGCGGGGAAACTGCGCCCCTCTGAAATGATGGATGGCTATTCATTGCTAACACTCACCGGCCTCTGAGTGGTGACCCGCGGTTCAGTGTGTTTCAAACGGTGCCGAATGTATCTGAATGTATCTCGGACATCTATCAACCTAGAACCAAAATGATCTCTGTAGATTTGGATCAATTCCATCAACAATAACCCAGTTCTCCTATGATACCTCCCACACAGCCACTGGTTTAGTTGTGGATCCATTCATTTGATTATAACATTTAGAACAACCGGATTGTGGAGGGCTTCACCGGGCCACTTTGCCTCACGGGCACTGGTCCGCTTTCCGTTTGCAACCAAAAATGGCCCATGCGACAGCTGGGTGGAAAAAGAGATCCCGTCTTCAGCATCGGTTGCTAAAGCTCCGTCTTCAGCTTTTTCAAAGCTTTTCCTTGGATTGGCTGGGTCCAGGACCGAAACAATGTATCTTCGAAGAGTTTAGAGTCTAGAGCACATAGTTATAACATGTCATAGCACAAAGTATATATAACAACATCAAAATGTAAAATTCCCTTCTTCAGATTAACATGGACCCCCCCAAACCAATTGAGTTGGTTTGCGGCAAATGGTCGAAACCACAGGGTTGTTCCGTTTGCCGGGGTGTTTTCACTTCCAGGTTTCGGAGCTTGCTGGCCATGACCGGTTTCAGCTTGGCATCCCGCACCAGCTGGTTGACCCCTTCAGCGTCCAGGTGCTGCAAATCCTCCAAGCAACTGGCGCCACTTGCATCGATAATGGCCCGGCTCACCTGCAGGTGACAAGAGTTTGATCTCGGATGCACCCCGGGAAAATCTGGAATACGGTTTTCTTCAGTTCGTTTTCGGGTGCGTTTTCCATGATGACGACCATGGATGACCACTATCTGCCGGGAAAGGTAGCACAGCCTGCCATTCGGACCTAGAGCGCTGCGCCACGTACAGGACCCTGCTGTGCAATCCCCGAATTCCAAAAGACATATATATATATATATAGACGATCAGAAAACCCCTTTAGACTTTCCACTTTTCCGCAACTCGCAGGGTTTAGATAATTAGAAAAACAATGAAAAACCATTGAGATTGCAACAAAACATCCTGGGCAGTTCTTTCATCATGTTTCCATCACCTCCCCAAGCCAATGGCGATCCAAGAACATCTCTAGCTCACTTGGCGGAGTGGCACCAGCGACCCCAGGCCATAGGGACTCCACTGCTTTGCAGAAGCCCATGGCCGCAGCACCGGCACTGCCTCTGCCAAAGCTTCAAATGATCCGAGATAGGCAGTTGCCGAGCTTGATGTTGTGATATGAGTGTTTTCTTTTTTTCATCCTCAAAACTGAGATGTTCGCATTTCATGCTACTAACTTCCATGGACCTCTCAGGTTCGGACCCATGGACCTCATCTTCTATGAGGTAGCTTTGTGTGCCCAGTGCCGGACACTGCCTACCTACAACCTCCAGGATGTCAAGAAGTCAGTTTTTTAGAGTTTGTGTGGCCACCCTCCTACTCACCTTCACATGGAGTAGGGCTAGTTGACAAAAGGACCGGACTAGTTGAATAGCCCTACTCCATCTTCTACAACCCTTCTCACAACTGATATGGCATGAGAGAGTTACATATTTGTATACCACTGCTAAGTTAAGGCTTGACCCTCCTGCTCTAGGCTCCTGACGTCCTAAGGATCTAAATGGGTTGTGACGTCCTAAGTGCTTTAAAGCTGGACCAAACAACTCAGGGAGGCATAGCAGCTATGCTCCAACAGTGCCTCCAACTGAAACAGTGCCACCCCAACCCAGACCAGCCATGGAGATGCTTTGCAAAGTAGAGAAAAGGCTCCCACTCGCGATCCCTGCCATGTTCGCTTGCCACAGTGCCGCTAATGACCCTGCAGAAATGCCAGCACTGGTGAACCCTGCCAGTGCCAAGAGTGCAGGCGCCGCAGCAATTCCAGCGCCTGATGCCACCACCATGGCTGCTGTGCAACCCCAGTTGATGGAAAAGGAGCATTCTTCACAATATCCGGTGGCATTCCATTGGTAGCCATTCTCACAACAACACCCTTCCACTTCATCATTGTTGGCATCGCACGGGTATGCAAGGCGTTTCTTGCATAACAGGTTGTTCGAAGAGAGCTCGACTCCAGAATTGCAGCAGTGCACCAACCATATTTGTAGGAGCACAAGCGATACACACAGCATGGCGTCTGCCAGGAACCGGATGCAACTCCAAAGGCGAAAACACTCCTCCTAAAGGTGAAATAGGAACCCTTTTGCAACTGCCATTTAAAACTATAGTTTCCTAGGGGGTTCTCCATAGAGGCTTTAACTTAAGTTTAATCATGGTCACTTTGCAACTATTTTTGGCCTCTACCTATCTCTCCTTCCAAACCATGTGTTTTTTTTTTTCAACAAGACGATGAATCCTTTGGCCCAATGGCTGCATGGGAGGGAAATCCGAACGGTCCGTGGCGAACGCAGATCTTCAGCATCAAAGAAGTAATACCAGTTCGGCGTCAGCTAAGAAGTGATGCCAGCCTCAGCTATGGCTAAAACCTTGTAGAGCAATGTAGAGCATCATAATTAAGCATCTTTTTTGATTGCAAACGCACTGGAGGACAGTGCACCCTGCTCCAACACAGCGCCTTGCCCATACCAGTAGATTAGAATGGAGATTTTGGCCACTGCTCACCTGACGGTTTAGGGTTCTTTGGCCGTTGCGCGGATCTCTTCCATCGGCTTTCGATCTCCTCGTTGAGCTTCCGCTTGTAGAGCCCATCTGAGGCCTTCTCAGTGTCCTAGCGCAAGCGTGAAAGGGGGAGAGCTTGTCTGCCATGGAAGGGAGAGTTGACTGCCAAGAGGGTTGCGGAACATCTCACACACGATGAACAAGACATATCATAATAATAATGCAGTTCTTTTCCCGGCTCATCCTCATTCTCAGAGCTTGTGAAGATGGTGCTTTCGCTCTCAGCCACTTAGATGATTCTCTCCTGCGACACCTCTAGCAAACACACCCGACTCAGTCACCTGAGTCACTCAGGTACCGAGAGGGCGAAAGTGGGGGGATCATTGGAGCTGCTGGGATGCATCCGGGTCAGCTCTGTTTATTTTACAGTAAGGTCCTTGAGATATCTTGAGACCAACTCTTCAGATATACCCGTTAAATAATGCCGAAAGATTGAATAATGCCACCCCATTTTACTATAGATTACCGGATCGGGTATTTCAGATCCGGGTCATTGAGATCAAGGTCTTTGAGATTCAAACTCTTCAGGGTCCTTGAGATCAACACAGCCAAAGACTGCCGGAGGATGCTACCCGCTCTGAGACCCCCGGCGGTTTTGTTTTTTCACATATTTTTTCCTTGATTCGATGTTTCGAAGTACTTCTGACCAAAACCTCTGGCTTCACTTCCGCCAAAGTTCAAGGACCTGATTGTACTTTGCATACTTTCTATGCAATCAGGGATCTTTGAAAGGCATAAAGTTCAAGGATCCCTGATTGCATACTAGGCTAAGCTTCCAAAGTTGGCACGTTCAAGCTCTCATCTATATACTCTCGTTGGAACCTGCAGCCTGTGACATTCCAAGATGGAGAAGGGCTCTGCTGCCAAACATGGGGTGCCATTTTGAGGGTGCTTAGGCGCATTTCAGGGGTCGTGTTCCTACCCCCTTCCAACTTCCACACAGTTGACAGTTGGTCCGCTTCTGTGAGCAGCCAAATGCTACTGGTCGTCGGTCCTCTTTGCGCATCTTCTGCTCCTGGCCGCTTGGGAACGCCGTGCATCCGGTATCACTGAGTCGATGCAAATGCACGTAGATGGGTGTGTCTCAAAATGGATGCACATTCGAGCACCAGCGTTGCAGGAGCTTTCGTGGCTTCACTCTCGTGTTTCATTGGCTTCTTGGCTCTTCGTCCCTTTTTGTTGGCACTCTTTAGCAATTATGGTGCGGCGAGATGGGTGCGGACGAGCTTTCCAATGCTCCCTGCACCACTGTGGATGCCCTTATGGGAACGCCAAATTCAACATTTGGAGGCCCCACTATAACTACTGCGCATTCCTGCTACCGATTTGACCGCAGCGACGAGGAACTGCCTCACTACACTACTCATCATCCACTCCATCGTTTTACAGTAATTCAAAACAAATGCATTGAGGGCCCAAGACTGAGGGTCACCACTTCATTTGGAGTCTCCAAACTAACAGGGGATTACGATCAAATTATATATTCCGGATCCCGAAATCCTGTATTCAACAACCCCCCGGTTTCTTGACCATCTGGGACGTGTGTCAAGCACTTGTTGGCCCTCAGCCTATTACTTTATCTACCTATGTGCTTCTTTTCGTTGGACGTGCTTCAGCCTGGCATGCCCCCCCCAACTTGGATCAATGAAATCTAAAGCTGAGGAGGCTAAAGCTCACGCGTCCTGCTCCACAGCTTGCTGCACCTTTTCAAGGAAGCCGTTGTGCTTAGGGCCTCCCGAAGGGTGCCCCGCGGAGCCCGCGTGGCGTGTGGCCCGGTGCGGAGCGTGTAGCACTTGGAAGGATTGGGTATCAAGGAACGTATCGAACGCAAAAGGACATAACAAATGATAAAAGGACATGATCTTTGGAAGATAGGAGCGGGCCTGGTTCCCCCCCACCATCTCTATATTTGCCGCATATGAACTTGATGTTGATTCCTTTGGATTCTATTGGCTCCATATGAACGAAATCTGGGTATGGATTAGGATCAAATCAAATCACACTGACCCTGTATCAACATGGCTCAATCCTCTTGCAGGGCTCGATCGATCCATCTCACATATTTTGTGAGCCTTTGCCTTCTCCAGATCCAATATAAAAAACCACACCCGAAGAGTATTGGCACTCCTCTGGATTCATCCTCCCACAAACCCCGCTCTTTCGCAAACCTTTGAGGCGATTTTTTTGTGAAGGAGAGAGTCGACAAATGTCATTCGGTGTAGTGATTGGACAATTGCAATTTGGAATGCAGTTTGACGATGTTTATTGATGAGGATTCGGAATGCTCCTGTTTCGACTTCTAGAAATTGAATTATTGGGGATCCAAGGGGGTGTCCTATCACTCTAATTAGTCACTATGAACCCATCTCACTCAACAAGATGTTGACCATCGTTGATCTGCAAACTTTGTGAATCTTTGCGATCGCTTAGGGTATGAGGTAGTACTACTTGGAGAGGTGCGCCCTCCAAGCTCCGGGCCTAGGAGCTTTTTACTCTCTCCGGATCGCAGCAGTGACTCGAAAGTCCGTGGCCTCATGCGCACGCCCATGAACGACACCCCTGCACTACTTGGGAGCCAAAGAGTCAATCGATTCCTACTTGTGTTGATGTGTATTGATATCGATGTCTGGCATGGACATGGAGTTTCTGCATCAACATTGAATCTTGGTTGCCTTGTTGCCTTGTCCTTGGAATCAACAGTGAAAACGTAACAGCCTTTAAAATCTTTCTATCAAACTCTAATAAACTCTATCATCAGCAGCACTGGTGACAACAATGCTCGCGAATGCTTCCACCAAGGCATGTTCATACTAACACGGACACCCTTGGATGTAGAGCGTATTGTCAACGCCTTCCACTTCCAGATGTGGACTGCACATCATACATGTCCTCAAGCAGAAGTAGAAGTAGAAGTGACAGCCGCAATCAGCCACAGCTCTTTCCATACAATAGAAAGAAGTACCGTAAAATTCCAGTAGAAGTCCAGTACAGATCTGTTCATTCCTCGTCTCCTCATCGATTCCCCCCCCCCCCCTCCCCCGCCCTGATCGGCCACCCGACACACGCGGCGTCCCGCGCCTCGGTGGTTCGACCGAAGCGCTGAGCCCCCGCTTTTCGGAGCCCCAAACGGAAAGCTTGCTGTTGAGCTTGGTTTGGGGGTGTTGCTAGAAGTATGTGGTAAGTATATTACATGAAATACAATATATATATATATATTAGATATGTAGCCATATGTAGTCCCTTAGCTTCTGACCTGTCAAGTTCAAAGACCTTCTTTGCAAAAGCCAATGCCCAAGTGTTTGCCGCCACAGGTCGTGCCCAGCCGAAAGTGTTCACAACCAGGGAAACATGTAGGGAACCTACGCCCACACCTAAACCCTCCTTCTAGGGCAACTGATCGCCTCCCACACTTAAACTTGCAGTTCCGGGACAATTTCTCCTTGGTTGGGCGATATCACAGAGTCGTTCTCAAGGTACACTACACGCAACAAAACGCCCGCTGCACAACAAGGCCATGTCGGAGATCCTAATTTCGGAACTATGCTCAACCTCCAACATTATAGTTATATATCCAACTTACTTGCTGTCAAACATGGTCTTGGAAGAAATCCAATGGGAACGTGCTGATCACCCCAACAAACAGATTCGATAGTCGAAAGTTTCGAAAGCCTCCAAAAACACTTACTTGAATGTGAGATGAAGATTCTTCAGATTTCCTAAGTCTAAAGCAAAGCCAACGAGCCTTGGAACACGGACTTCCCGCTCAACTGCTGCCCGAAGCCGTTGGATATCTCCACCTCCCCCGCTGAAGCCGTCCATCTGATGAGCTGCCATCTGGTGGGGATCTCCAGCGGTGGCCTGCCAAAACACGACTGACACACGACGGCCCACCGATAGAGCTCGGTTCCAATGAAACATGCCCCTCAACATTCACCAAATGCACCTTGTCATTGTTGCCTACCATGGTCGATTCACAGCTTTCGTAGCGCACAAGAGCGACTGCATTGAGCAAAACAACCATGCAAATTGAACAAGCCGTGTGGCTAACAGTAGTGTTAGTGCTTGTCTCTCCATTCACTCTGGCCCACCCATGTTCCACTAACCTGAAGCACTCAGACCCTCTCGGTAGAGTCTGTCTTTGGTGGTGAGATGATTTTGTAACTGTTTTCGTAGAAGTCTTGTTGGTTTATTGGGCCAAACGCCCAATAAACAACAAACAACTTGTGAAAGAGCTTGAGTGAAAAGAGTCTCACCCAGCTTTCCCATGCTTGGACTAGATTCATCTATATCTCAAGATCAAATTGAACATAATTGAACACCTCTGGTTGATGAATCTTCCACACATCTCTCCAAAAGCATCCAAAAGCAAGATCAACCCAGTCAACCTAACCTAACCACTCCAAATCTGCGGCCTTGAGCCCGGCGGTGCGGAGCCCGGTCGTCGGGCACCTGCGCTGGTCCGGAAAGGAACACGGTTGAACACTTCGAAGGGTCTTAGAATCCAACCTAAAAGCGATGGCCTTCAATCTACATTCGTGGAATTTCGTGGACGAAGTACATGCACATGAGAGATAGAGGTGGTTCCACCTCCGGTTGTAGCCCACAGAGGCGGAATTCCTCCAGTCTATCTTGAACCTATGTGCACACATGATTCAAGACCCCACCTACAGTATTTGTTTGGCAAATTGTTTCCCTGCAATGCTAACCCCCTTTTAAAGCACCATCTGGTCCATTTTCAAAGTTGCTACCTGTTGGTACCCGGTTGCCATATCCAAAGCCTGATTGATAGTTCATCCTAGTTCATCCCACTCACCGACCGTCCGACATCCGAGGTTCGTCCGGTCGAGGGTCGGAGCCCGCGCTGGGCGTCCCACGTGCCGCGACCTTCTCTTCGTTTCCTGCCGAACGAACGACGCATCGAGGGTCCGTTCCCGGCCGAAGAACCAACGCACATCGATGGAGTTCGAACGAATCGAAGCTTCGCTTCTGGCGCAAGGCTTGCTGGAATCTGGAACGTCTGGAGGTTAAGAACCGAGGAACTTCCAATCGCGGCGACTCGTCGAGCCCCCCAGAAGCCACTCCCACTCATTGACCGCTGGCCTACCAGCGGCCCAAAAGGGAAGGCGACTTTGTCTGCCATCCACCTGCGCCGGATGTGCACCGGGACCTCCGTGGCACCGTACCGGACGTCGGGGACGTCCAAGGACGGTTGCCCCGGACCGGATGATTGGTCTCCCTTCCACCGATAACGCAGGGGTCCAAGATGGATGTTCCCCCAAAATTCTGGAGACAAACTTCTGATTGAATCACATGTCAATGAAGTACCTTAAAGATGCTTAAAGTGCATCAACATGCATCAACTGTATCTGTATGTATCTGTATATGCATCCAAGGGCTCTGAACTCCGCCCTCGAGTAGCGCCTGGACACGTCAAACCTCAAAGCTCATCTCGGTGGATTGGCTCTGATCTGAGGCTGATCGATCCGAGCTGGTCGATGAGTTAAAAGCAATCCGATCCACCATGACGGTCCGTGACGTTGGATATCTTTGGATGCATCTCAACGGGTCATGAGTCCATTTTTGGCAATACTATGCACTAAGAGGCTGAAGGGCCTGGATGTCTACATCCTCCAGCCAAAATCCGGCGCAAAAGACATTCCAAGAAGGCTCAATGGTGGCAGATCATGCATTTCTGTGATCATTTGCTATCAGAACATCAGGCAGGGACGGGGTGCCTTCTGATGAACACCTGCATCCCTGTAATTGAACCTTGAAAAAGTATGAAACTCTTGCGTGCAAAATGTTTTTTCTCCATGCATTCCCCAACGCACCATCTCAAAGGTCTTTTGGTTTTAATCTTTCAAGGGCGCTGTTCTCGAGCTTTATAGCTTCCATATCTTCGGCTGGAACTTTTATCAGCAAAATGTAGCGTCAAATGCTGTCCAGGTGGGCTACCTCTTTGTGTGTCTATATGACCCGTTCACATCTCAAGGCATGTGCAACTGGCTATGCATACGCAAAACAATCTTCAGTGCTTCGTTGAATCATCTTAGATCTGCTCTTGTTCGCGGCCCAGGCTTACCCCACACCCAATAAAGTCGGTGGCGATTGATGCAGGTTCATGATACCAACATCATGTTCTGCTGATTGTTTGTGGACGATTGTTGGTGTGACCCACATCAACACCCTTCAATTCTGACTTCTACAAGCCTTTGTCCAGGCCGACTTAGCATTACTGTATATAGTGTTTTGCAAGGCAACCCACTCACCTGGCCGCTACTAGCCGCGCCCCACCATTTTCGCCGGTAAGAAGATTGGTGGACGGACTGGACGGACGCTTCTCAAGTGGAAAGGCCACTCTCAAATTGTCGGTGGTCACAAATGTCCGAGAAGTTCGGAGGACCAATCCGGTGAGCCACGGATTCGTTGACTGACGGTGGTCCGTTCACAATGCCTGGACCATGGGAACTTGGGTCTAGTCATTTCATGCAAATACGTCGCTAGCAGCAACTTGGCATGCGTGGGAACGGCAACCCGTGTCTCAAATAGGATAAAACGTCAGTGCAGACTTCTACTGTATGCCGCTGGTCACTCACTTGCCATGGGGTTCTTGCTTCAGCCGCGCAGACAGCCATACAGGCTCATAAATCCAAACAAAACACATAAATTAGAAATCATAGCCAAGCTACCCAGCTTCTCCCAAACAGGTCATCCTCACCGGAGAAAAAAGCAACGCTAGAAACTAGAACCCCCTAACAGCTAGAGGATGTCCTGATCGACCCTGTTGGTTTCATATGCTGAGACAAAGTAGGCTCCTTAGCATCACAACTCACAACCGGCAAATCTTGCAGCTTACACTTGTCGCATCTTGTTGCCCAAATAAATCGCACTCTGCGCAAACGATTCCCGCCTGTTGGGCCGCCGGGCCGTGGCAGAACCCCACGGCACAAATTCATGAGGGCACCGCAGTTGGGAGAAACAGTTACTATGGCGCCACGAGGTAGACATGCACAGACATGACTGTCAGGGGCTCCAAAAGTTGCTATTGGAGAAGGGTAGCTGAGATCCAGGGTCCGAACCCTTGGTCTAAAGATGCCATGTCTTGCAGACATAGTACGTTGATGTTGTCCTTCCAAGCCTTATCTAGATTCCAGATGTGTGGCATATAGAACTCTGCGGTTTTTCTAGCCGTCTTGCAGATCGAAGAATAAAGAATGACACTTCTGTTGCGGCACCCGAGCAAAACGCCGTCAGGCCGAGGTCTCGGCCGGGCTGCAAAACAATTTTGGACAGGGCAGGGACGAGCACCACTGACGGGTGGTTCAAGAATCCTATATAGACAAACACACTGACAAACACTGATTGAGGGCGGTGTTCCAGTCATCGATTTCTAGTAGACTTGGGGCTACAAATAGGTGGAGCTACGGATAGCGGTCCTAGCGGCAAGCCGCCTGGCACTGAGCGACGCCAAGCCTCGTTGACACCACCAATCATGCCGCACCAGCAACACGCGGACAGGAGGCGACCCTGGCGCGTCAGCAGAACCTCCCATCCCCTTAAGAGCTGCGAAACGCAGGGAAACAGGCCCGTACATCCTGTTGAGCACCTTGTGTTTGGTGATTTGACATCTGAGGTGCCGAAAATGGTGCTGGTGGCTGGCCAGCTTAGATGTGCACATGGTGGTGATCACAGAACAGCCAGAATCAAAGCATTGCTGACCTGAGAATCGATGGGAGCAGTTTCCTTGCGAAGAAAATGCTGTCAGCACCTGTGCCGCTCTCCTTTGCCACCACCGCCTCCAAATTGGAAAGGGTGGCATCCAAACAGGACTGAAGCCCAGTCTCGTCCCACTTCTACCGAATTGTCAACGCTGGTTTGTGCTTAGCTGCTGCCTGGGCAGCCCTGTAGAGCAGCAACAACTACTGGCTCACGTACACAGAGCATATGTACACTGTCATGAAGCTGAGTGTGCTGCGTGCGAGGTCCAACCCATCATGGATGATGTTTCCACTTCAAAGGTGTGACAAAAACAGCCTGGCCGGAATCAATGGATGTTTTGCAGCAAACATTGGAAGGCCGCAGGTGCAACTCAAAGATTAAGCGCGACATCTCCGGACGCCTAATCCGGCACCTACAAGTACAGTAGGCAAGTGGTGGCTATGCCTGAATCCTCACGCTGCGAGGCCACGCCCCAACCCTGACGCCGACACTCGTCATTGATCGCCATGCTACCAAAAGATACCAAAAGCGTCCAAACGTTCTTCACTTGCTTTCACTGCTCCATCCATTTCTATACTCCTCACATCTCCAGATTGCGTGGGTGCAGTTCAGCAGCATGATTGTTTTTGTGTTCACGCTCGTGCCTTTCGGTCAGATTACTTTGTGCATGTTCGTGGGTTTTACAGAGCGTCACATATCCTTCGCGCAATTCAGAATGCCAACACAAGAAACTGAAATTGGCTCGCATCTCACGAAACTGACATGCTTGTTCAGGATGGCTCTCTAACACTTTTCCTCCCAAACAAAAAACTTATAGTCTGGTAAATATATGACACCAGGGAGAGGATAGCAACATGTGAGTAAGGATCAAGTAACAAGGGCCAGATTGCAATAAAGATTGAATACCCCTCATTGCCAGGAAAAGCTACAAACAACAGCACATTCCAAGAGCTATGGGCCATGGGTCAATAAAAGTCAAGCACATCAAAGACAATGCATCTGGTCGAAAACCAAAGAGCTCAGTGATATCTGTACAGTACATGGAAAACAATTACTGTATGCATATATATATATATATAGCGAAGTGAGGGGAAGGCAACAGCAACAAAGAAAAGGTCTAGCAAAAGGTAGAATGATTCAATTTTAGGGGTAAAATCATTCCAAAGTTAAGGGTAAAGTATTTCCGGGAGTGTAGTATTCACAGCCTGGGCCTAAAGTGTCTCATTAAAAAAAACAGCTATCACTGTGATGCTCGGACCTGACCAAAGCTCCCTCATTGGCTGCTGCTGGCCACTTCCTGCACCTTTCGTCGGTAGCGGCCATGGATGGCATTTCCAGCCAAAGCCTCAGCGCCAGGAACAGCACGCTTCACTGCCGCTGATGCCCAAGGTTCACTGAGAGAGTTGTCTTCACCCCGCAAGGCCAGCATGCTAGCGGTTGCCCCTAGAAGCTTCTTGTTCCTAGTAGCGATGCCAGGAGCCCCTAGTAGCGTCCTTGCTCCTAGTAGCGATGCCAGGAGCCCCTAGAAGCTTCTTGTTCCTAGCATCAAAAGATACCCAAAGGTTCAGTTCTTCATATCTCCAAGGCTTTTTAGGCTTTAAGCCATCGCAGCACGATTTCTCATCTGTTTTGGTTGTGGAGGGAACCACAACACTGTGAAGCTGCCCCTTTAAGTCCTAACAAAGGGACTTGTTTTGCAACCTCCAGGCAATCAGTCTTTCGCTCCCGATGATGCCCTAACCCCCAAAAATAAGCAAGGACTCTTCATTCCTCATGTATCCGAACATCGAAACTGGGCGGGGAAAAAATCCAACAACAAATATTGAGATGACATGGAGGAAGAGAAGCAACGCCCAACATCACAACGTTGTTGGGAAGCACTCAAAAATACATATCCGTGATTGCTGTGAATCACTATGAAGCCCCATCTGCAGTGGTCATAACAGCCTATAGGCAAGTCCGTTTTCTGTCCACATTGGTCTGATTTTACCAATTCCACAGTTGGTGGGCACAAACATCATCGTGTCCATTTCAGCTACACGTGATGACCATGACCACCGACTCGTCCCAGTCGCTGTGACGGTGGCGGTGCCACTGGCCAGTGCCAGGGTGCCCAGTAAAGGGGCGCCCAGCCTAGGTGGATCGGAGCGCTTTGAGCGTGGAGGACGGCGCTACTGAGCGGCGAAAACAACGCATTGTGTTGTGTGGGTGTGAAAAAATAACCTATTCCCTGTAACAATGGATCATGATGGTTAGTAAAGGCCCTGAACGTACAGTATCACACGGGTTTTTGTGGTGTCAAAATGGGTGCGAGACATTCAGGTCAATTGTGCTGGATTGACTGCAGGTTGGGGTCGCGAATGGATTCTTTTTTGGTGGTTGAGTGATTGATGCCAAACAGAATTGCAAACAGCGCGGGAACTATTGATTTGAAGCCAAACAAAACAGAAAAAGGCCATAGCAGCCTTACGCACCTTCAATGTCACATTGCACCCGGGGACCCATTGAAGGCGAAATGACATGGAAGGCCCATCCACCATGGGTGGTCCATAGTGAAGTTCGATTCCCCCCCTACCGCCTGTTCCGGTTCCAATCACAGTATATACAACCAGTATTAACATGTATTATATATAAGTATAACATTTACAGGATCTACATCGTCATTCGGATACTGGTAGCAAAGTTGGCAACGCCAAGTTAGGTTGCCAATCAGCCTAAATAGATCTACAAGATTCTACCAGTTGCGGTGTTGCTCCATGCTTCTGTACAAGGTTGACATGGATGAAACGCTGAAACTCGACTAGTCATTGGCTGTCGAAAAAGAGAGACATCCTCCAAAAACATCTCAAAAAAGAACACGTTAATACACATTTCCACAGTCACCGTCAAGCCGAGCACCCCGACTCACCAACTCTCTGGCGGCGAGTCCGGGACGGGATGTGTGTGTCGCCTGTCGCCTGCCCCTCAGGTCCTGGCACCATCCCCATCACTGCCTGATGGGTGAACCGGTGAACCCTCACTGTGAGGATGGGTGGATGGTGGTCTAGGGAAGTGACTTGTGCAACCCAAATGGGTATTCCTCAATGTTCTGGCCCCACTCCAACAGAAGCAAGAACAAGGAACCAAGAAAAGGGAGTGGACTGAATTATTGTAAACGCCTTGAATCACATCATGAACCGCTACCAGCACCAACCTTCGTCCCCTCGTTTGAAGGACTCAGGACCTCTGTTGTGAGAACGTTCGGGGGCTTCATGGAACTACACCCCAAAAGCTAGCGCCGAACCCAAACCGTGTTTGCGAGGCTTTAGGGTGCCATGTCCGTTTCGAACCGCATCAGTTGCATGCCGCCCAGATTGGTCCCATCACCTGGTGGTGGGTCTTCGTGCCTAAAGAGCGCACGAAATCCTTCGAAGGCGCTCGGCCAACCGCTCACGTTTGGTTTGGATTCCACATGGTGTGGGGTGTGGGATCTCGGTGGACATTTCGAGCCAGGAAGTCGGCCAATTCTCGTCATAGTTTCGGACCTGGTTTTGCGAATACAATCCTTCATCATGGGCAAGTCAAGTCTTTATGAATCCATATGAATCCTATTGCTCCTTCAAACTCATTATCAGTCCGTATCCAATCTGGATATATCCGGACTTCATCATATTTCATTATCCAATCTGGATTGCTAAAAGCTGAGGATCCTGGGAGGGAACTTTGTCAACTGGGCAGCCCCTGCACTGGAGGCGCCCACAGCAATGGTGGCCTTGGAGACCTCAGTGGCGTGAGGATCGAACTCCCACCCCCGTGGAACATTCCAGGGGACGGAGCATATCTCTGGAAGTTTCAGCATCACACACACACACATATTATATATATATATATTCATATGATTTCATGGATCGTACTGCAGTGGCTGCTGTCATCTGCCATCTACTCCCGGTCACTTCGTCGCACATTTCTTGCCCTCGCTGAGGGCCACACCCTGGAACGAGATTTGCCTCGGCGAACCGTGCAACCACGGTGGATCCATCTAACCTGAAAACCACGGTGGATGGTGCTGTAGCACACGGGGACCAGGCATCTACTGACTGACGGACATTGGAGTGAAAACCACATGCAAAACCGGATCCATCTGCAAAGAACTAGCTCAAAACCAGATTGGTCCGAAGGTTCTCCTGCATCCGATGTCGACATCTACGGTCCAGGCCTAGAGCAACCTCGGCCAACGTACCGACCACCTCCCTCGTCTCCTCGAAGTTGAAGGGTTCGTGGTCGCGTCCGGAGAATGACAGCAAAACAGCAAACTGACCGTGAACCCCTGCAGATTTCCCACCTGATCCATCTGATGGAGGAAATGTTGAGAAGGAACACATTGGAACCTATCGGGTGAACTGCCACTGTTCGTGCCCGGCTGAAGGGCATTCAACGGCGTGAGCCATGCACCATCCCCGACTGAACTCGAAACCGTGTCCTCCACCGTCTGGTGCACATCGTCTTCTACTGCCTGAGCTTGAAAACTGGGCAGAAAGAGCTCCAAGAAGTGCATGGTTGCATATGTCATGTCCGTAGCTCAAAACTGTTGAACCCCAAAAATATGGATGTTCACTTGTCATGTGTTCACTGACCCGGGGCTTGGGGGGGCGCACCTGGTTTTTGAAGCATATAGGGATATATAAGAAGTCATTTGAAACAACCTGGGAATGAAACTAACCCTCCAGATCCCTCCAGTCGCCGTAGATCCGTAGGTTCCACATATGCCCCAGTGATCATTTCACGGGGAGGCTTCGGATAGCGGGGGGCAACAAACCGGAGGACAACTTTCAAAAGATTTCAACAGGATGCCCAGCAATCTTCTAGGAATCGCACCAATCCTTTGTGGGCGACCACCGGGACTGATACCCATTGAAGAACCAGTTTCACCTGTCACCTGTTTCTTGTAGGGAGGACGGTAGGACAAGAGATTTCACCTACAATAATACAAACAAAATATTAAAAACATCATTCAGTGAGCTCTAAAACAGGTGCCACAAATAAACCCATGCAACATAACGTATTTACCTTCGACATCCTTTGGCCCGCCGAAGAACAACACACACATATTGTCATATATATATAAATTAATATGTACATATATATATGATAAACCTTTATACAGTATATGCACCCAATGGATCTCAATAGTCAACATGGCAACAAACCGCATGGCACACTTTATATAGTATACGGCTCCGTTCATCGGCTCCAGAGGGACATCGGCGCGAACATCGTCTGGATGCCATGGAAACTTCAAGTAGATGCAAAAACTGTTAGCAACAGCAAATTGCTATCATATATAACTTGCGGCATCTCCCAGATTTCGCGACATCTGACTGAACTTAAGCAAATTCATCCGACCATACCACGCACCCTCCCCGTTTTCTCTGGGCCACATCCAAGGATTCGTCTTGCTGTTGGACCATGGAAGCCACCTAAGCAGCGCCAAGGACCCTGGAGAAAGGGCATACACTGGCATAGACTCCAAGTCACCGTCACATCGTTGCTAGAGGAAATAAGTGTTCACATTGGCGATGTCATCCATATTGATGGCTGAGGCAAAGTGTAGCAAAGCTGTGAAGTAGCTGGCAGGTGGTGTTCTTGGCATATCCTGCGGTGTGTGTTGTGAATCTCCTACTCAGCATCGATGTCGTTCCCCATTTCGATGTCGTTCCTCCCCCAGAGGTTGTGAGTTTCGACTTCAAAACGATTCAAACACAACTTTTGGGAACATATAGAACCTCCTTAGAACCCTAGTGAATTGTGGCGATTGGAGTGGCATTGTTCTCATTTTTGTCATCCATAGAGGTGATTAGATATAGACAGGTCCCCCCCCAAATACTAATATATAAATAGAAACAACATCCAATACATGCCTTTTCCAGGCATTTGATCATATCATATCTCTTTTGGGATCGCTTCATCCCCTGCGACTCCTCCTCGCCGTGGCGCTTCGCTCGCGCCCTGGCGCCCTGGCCCGCTCGGTGGCTTCCGACAGCATCCGTGCGTCCGCGGTGAGCCGGTTCAGCGAGGCCGCCTGGGGAAGACAAAGGAAGGCGTCCAGGTACCCATCCTTACAGCGGTTTCAGAGTAGATGGTACGTCTGGGCCCCCCAAGTTTGGTGGTTTAGTCGTGGACCCCCATCTGCCTAAGACATCTAGGGGTGGCAGTGCCATCTCCTCTGAAACCACTGTAGAATTTTGTTCTATATTCAATAATTTAAGGTATAGGGGTGTTTAACCGTTTAACCGTATTGCTTAAGTAATATTCCTTACGAATCCTTCAACAACTGTCATATTTGTTGGCACACCCTTCCCAAAACAATACTGTTAGACTGTTAGATATTCTTAGATCATTGCAAGTGGTGGTGGCTCAAAACTGGGGGACCATCCTATCCCCCTTGGTTCTGGAAAACAGCTACCTATAGGCAAACCAAACCCTGCGGGACCTGGGTCAAATACTTTGAGCGACAGTGCCACACCCATCTGCGAACTCACCCACATATACAGTATGTATATATATATATATATATGTATATCTATATATATATATATCACATACACATACAGCATATCAAATCATATCAACAAACCGCACTAAGCCACCCTACTTCCTACTTCGCGTAGCCGTGGCAAACACCCCGCAAGTTCTGAAAGACAAGCCGCGGTGCAGTGTTTCACACAAACCTCAATTCTGGGCCTCATCACCACAAAAACACTTGGCCCGGGCGTCCACGCCGGCCCAGCTGGCACCGACTGATACAAAAACCCACCCCGCCATGAAAGAGCCCCGTGCTCCACCGTCACCGCGTTCCGCCGCTCCCAAAGAACCAGCGCTCCGATCGAGGTGTGGGCGGGTCCCAGGTGTCCGCGCATCCAAGCGAGGGATCGGACGAGCTTGGAAGGATTCGGTGGCCTCATCACAGGTGTCGGCGCCGGCGCTGCGCCGACGGACACCGCATTGGGCCCCAATGCGCGTGGTGCCGCGTTGTGCGGGTTCTTTTGCATCTTCCGCATGTTCGTCTGTTTGATGTGCGCATTTGGAAGCATCTGTGATCATCTGCGGCTACTGAGATCTCTGCATCTAATCATCACAAATCTACTGGGTTGTCTTCTCCCTTCTCCATCCGGCGGTGAAGGTTCTGGACTTCAACTTCACAAACTGATCTGCCCAAAGCACTCGTCTGACTCAACATATCAAACATCCTGGGTGGAGCATGCCAAAGAAAAGCTTGGGTACCAAAACAGCGGAGTCACATCCGGATTTTTCGACACCGTGGTCCCACCGCCCGCGCCAGTTGCGCATCACAAGAGCTAGCAGTTCTGTGTGGTCCACCCATGCCCACCATGTGGGAAGAAACTGAACTCGAACCAGTCTGAAAAAGCCACTTTGGCTTAGCTGGGCCCACCAGTATGATGCCCACTGTGCGAGCTTGCGCGCAAAAAAACAGCATATGATTGACAGTTTCCCTGCAGCTAAATAACTTCTTACAGGTAAAATTCCTACTGGCCCCACTGACAATCTCCGAATTTGGGCACACACAAACGCACACAGAATTTGGCCCCCGGCGCTCCATTCTTGGAGTGGTGCGCGCACGTCCACCTGGCACGTGCCATGCAGGGGGGCACAAGCTGCAGGGCAAGATACACGGGCTATACGGAAGAGGGCGGTGAACAAAAGCCCAAAAGCATGGTATATATTCATCTATACACTGTAAGCGGTTGTTAGGGTCCCTAGCGACTGGAAAATAAGTGGATGGGGCGTGAACACATGCACAAAATAGATTGGGCCCCAATTCTGATGTTTCCCTGCACAACCGACACCAGCACGCACCTGTGCAACCGATTCCGAGTGCTTTTGGATGATCCCAATGTCACTGCTGGTGAACGGGGAGGTCAACGGCCGCGACACGGGGCACCGTTGGCTCGAGAGAAAGAACTCTTCAGGAATAACAGGTGAGCGTCTTGGTCATACAACGGGAGTAGATCCTGAACTTGGATTCACGCAACTATACATATTCTTATATATTAAAACAATATATATATATATATTACAGTAACTATTACAGTATATTCATCTGTCGACGCTGTTCATTTGTCCATTGAAACATACTTACAGTAAACCTCTTACACAAAACCAACACACATAGCCAACTACCTGCTGCTCAGAACAGTACCAAGTAGCAAGAAGGATGATCCTTGAGTTTCAAATTGGTTTTGGCCCATACTTCCACCATTAAAGAAAGACATATCATCATACAAGTTACATCAAGTTGCTGAAGGCAACTACTATATCGGATGCAGGGACAACGAAGCCATAATCTATTATATACGATTAAATATCAACAACTTGCTCACCGGCAGCCAGTGTCTTTGATCATCACAAGCAACCACCGGTGTCTTCCATGTCTTCTATCATGTTCCACATTATTCCACCATGCCAGTGGAGTGGAGCCAACCGCGGTGTCAACATCACTCGTCCTCAACGCGTTGAACGGAACGTGCCATGGCGAGTTTTGCCTGAACTTGCTGCACTTGAGGCCTGGGAGCGGAGTGGGACCGACGACGGGTGGCCCACGCAAGGACTGTTCATTGCAGGCGGTCCAGGTAGAGGGGCGGATCGTCGCTTTGGAACCTTTTGAACGAGCTTTTTTGGTGGAGAAACGGGGTGGATTCTTCTACTTTTACAGAGGCCAGGTATTTCTCTCTCAACTGTTGAGAACTTGCATTTCATCAATGATTTTTTTGACCATGACCATAGTGGTTCATGTCCCGAAAGGTGCGAGGATCTTGGGGTGGGCACTTTTCTAGTTTCTTGAGCGCATCCAGGGGCATATAAGCAAGCCAAGGTCTTGACAGGACCACCTGCAGCGTCCCCAAACAAGCAATGCCAAAGACTCGGCTTTCAATCAACAGGCAACAGTTGCAAATCATTGTTGCTTGATGACTTGACATGGCTTACAGGCCTGCGCAGGCTAAATTGTTCCACCAATGCCGATTCTAAGTCTACTTATAGAATCTCTTTGTGCCCAGTGGCTTGAGCCACTCCACGAATATGTCGAAAGCAGCTTGAAACCCGACTCTTGTGGAACACGGCGTCTGACACACCTATATTGCTGCAGAACCTGTCCCTAGAAACTCAGGAAGGGCCAGTTCATCTTAGACATCTGTAAAACTCTATAAACTCATTTCTCTGCACCAAACTGGTTCTTTCCTTTCAACCTTTTACAACGTTTTGGTGTTCTTGGCCCTCTGTCCTGGTTGCCCCCTCAGTCGCCATCCGCACAACAGCACCCACCGAGGATTCGCTTGGTACCCCAGACTCCTTGCGGTGCCTTAGTGGTGCTGCTGTGAGAGGCCACCGTCCCGTCCCATGTGGCTCATGCCATGGAAGTGGGAAGGCTGAGTTCGTCCATGCTTGGAGTAAAACGACTCTTCTTGATGGGTGAGCACTCCGAAGCTATGCACCTGGAGCTGTTCTTACATCTCCTATCTGTTGATGGGCTGAATCCACCACCCAGTTGCTACGCCAACCCGAACAATCCCAGCACGTGCCTGGGAACCCTACAGTGGAGCCTCATTCTTTCACAACCTGAGATCCTTGCCGACGGTCAATATTAACTTCCAGGGAAAGGCAGGGAAAACTGTACATTTTCTCTGGGGCCCCGGGCCCACAATCTCTTTAGTCTCCTACCCTGATACCTACCTATCTAATAATTATCCATCTATCGATCCATCCATCCATCCATCCAATCCATCCCATCCATCTACCCCTACCTATGATTTTCCGAGCCCCCAGACTCCACGCGCCCCCCGCAACGTCCGGAGGAACGCGGGTCGGTCCAGGGCCCGCGCAGCGGCCACAAGTTCGTTCTCGGTCCACGTGGCGATGGATCCCGTGCGGGTCCGTGGATCCCGGGCCCGGTGGCGATGAGGATGGTGAGGTGAAATTGGAGAGTCCACTACCGTTATAAACGTGGTCTTTGTGAGAGTCCTTGTTCTATAGTCAAATATATAATTCAAATAGTATGGTTCAGTTATGTTAAGTTTAGTTCGCCAGAAACCTAAGAACCTGGAAACAAACGTGATGTAGAAAGGGGTCCCAACATGGAAACATCTGGTGAGGTCTGCCTTGTTCCCAACAAGTTTTTCAAATTAGGGTTGGCTAGGCATCTTTTCCTGTCAGGTTTGCCTTTGCCACAGTTTCTGCAGATTTTCGCCCCGGTTCATTCACCCCAGGCCAATGATCTACAGTAAGCAAAACGTCTGCTGGATCTGTGGAGAGTGCCTCCTTAGTTCGCAATTGGACACTCAGGTCGTGCGCAAACATATCAGTCTTCGAATCCACCGCTGATTCGTTGATCCTTTCGCCAGCTCGCTGTGGCTCCGTCAGGCGTGACGCGTCAAACGCGTGACGCGTGACTGACGCGTCATCGGGGCAAAGTTCCGCCATGTTGAGGGCCCGCACATCCATCCCAACACACTGCTGTGGCCATCGTCCTGGAGACCAAAGGAACCAAGAATTTGGAGAAAACACACATCTCTCTCTCTCTTTCTCTCTCTCTCTCTATCTCTCTATATATATATATATATATTCTTTGTGGATGCTTGGGGTAGTTATGCAACCCTTTCTTACAACAAGTGGTGTCACTGGCATATATTGGCATTATACTACTAACGCATATGCACAATGCAAAGCGCTACCCGTTGCAAGGCTTCCGAGATTTCTCCTTTCAAGATTTTCAAGCAAGCTGCAGGCGTTTCCCTGTGTAAGTTCAACCACTTCACTGCATGATGCAATGTGGCAACGGGTCTGTGGTTCAGTGTGAGTCTGAGTGTAGTTTACACAGTGTAGATCTATTGCAGTGGTTTCAGAGTAGATGGCACGTCTGGGCCCCCCAGTTTGTTGCTTTATATGGACCACGATCTAAGAGTCATCTTGGGGTCTGTGCCATCTACTCTGAAACCACAGCAGTATATGCCATCATTTGGTATCCAATCCTTGGCAACACTGAGTGCCCAGTTTGTGCCTCCTGACTGCTGGAGGATCTCCGACGGTTCCTGAAACCGGAGAAAACGCAGAAACCGGACTCGGTTGTGACCTGCATGGACCATGGCACAGGATGATATACCCTAGGGCTCCAGTCGTACCTCCTCAGAAGGTATGACTGCACCCTCCAAACCCACCCCAAATACCTTTCTCAGAAGGTCAGTTAATGTAGACTATTGATTAGTACCCCCCCATTGGAATTGGAAATCCTCTTGATCATGTGAGGTTTATTAATCAAGAGCCTACGGGTACAGTCCATTCTATAGATGTTGATTCCAAGAAAGTAGAAGGATGATACAGTAATGGGCGAGTATAGGAGCATGATGTGGCTGTCGTCTCAAACGTCTTACCAAAGAAGGAACTGTCATTGGCAAGCGGTCAAGCGGTTGCATGTAGAGAAGCAACAAGTCTGCCTGTTAAGAGATCGGGCTTTTCCCGACCCATGCTGAAGGGGCACTACATTACATGTTCCAAAACTTTGGGCGATGCACGCAGGGTGCCGCGCATAAACATCTAGATGGTTGTGGGGCCAGTTGTCACATGTGATTGATTGCAATCATTGAAGCAGATCAACCACTGTCTTTTTGACATCCTACAGCCTTATTGTTATTGTTAAATGTGGGTCGAGGAGCCCCTCCTTACAAACACGAATAATAACCTCCCTAGTGGTTGGCTTATGAACAATGTTCATAAATGTGGGACATCTTTAGGAATCTTCTGGCAATCAAACATGTTGTAACGTGATGACAAAGTTCTCAATGAACATCAAATGGGTCTTTGATGACACGAGCTTCCTTTGACTCGGTGCGCGCCCGCAGCCTTGCCCGGGTGATTCGGCCTCGGACTCATTGCGGGGTGGTTGCTGCACAATGACTTCATACGTGGTGGTTTGATTCTGCGTGGTCATAGTTCTTTTGTGTTCCAGAGCGCCTGGCAAATCGGAGAAACCACCAGTGGCTGTAAACCGTGGTGGCTACAATGTCTATAGTCTATCGCACATATTTCATTGAACTATTTTGGAATTGAAGGAGCGTGAATCAAACCCGTTCAAAGAGAGAGGATAAATCTTTATCTGCTGTCCAAAGCCCAAAACGCACAGAATCCCCAGACAATCCAGGAATGACTGCCCAAAGGCTCATGGACCTGCAACCTGCTACATGATCGAGGTCCAAAACCCCAGTTGTGAGGGTCAAAATCCTAGCTATGAGGGTCCAATGAGCCTTTTGGGTAGACGAATCAACACAAACGTCTCCGGGTGAATGCAGGAGACAACCGGATGTCATCGTCATGTCCGACTTGGCTGAACGCCTATGAGTCTATAAGGTATGGATGTTCCTCACAAATGTGTGGCTCCAGCTAGATGAGCTGGCTATCAAGAGCTAGAAAAGAGCTAACAAATGTATGAGCTATCATCATGAGCTAGAACATTAATTAGCTTGTTGAGCTGGCTATCAAGAGGCAAGAGGTTTCTGTCATGTTGCTGCATTTCGCTCAATGTGCAAAAGGTTCCTTGCTGTGGTTTGCCAATTGAACCAATAGCATCCAAAGTGTCTTGTTGGATTCCACGGGTGTATACTTCCTCTAAGGACCGGTCTCATTGGACAGTCCTCAGAGGTTCCAGAGATGGGCCAAACGGTCCAGGGCCCGGACGGTCCAGCAAATCGCAGACCTCTCGGAAGTCGTTGGCCAGGGCCCTGGCAACCGGCATCGCTCACCACTGTTCTCACCACCGGTATGAAGCTCCCCTAACAGGGAAAGACATAGATGCCCAATGGGACAATGTTTCATGGGAAGAGTTGGGTATTGAACAGCCGCATCCAAAGGCTATTTTTTGCTAGTAGAAGCGGATAATTGGACTCCTACGTGTCCAAGCGCCTAGCAACATTCACACTAAACCTAGTGCTGTAAAAATGTATGCATATATGTTGTGATATTTGGTGCTAGGCTACAGGGTCAGCAGTTTCAAACCAAACCTTCATCTCAACGCAAACATATGTGCTTGTTGCCTGCAGCCCATAATTAGTATCAAATGTATCAAACAAGTTTTTCAATTGCAGTAATCCTGCAAACCACCATGAACCTTGCAAGACCACTGCTGCGTCGGAGTCAGAGTAGCACTTTTGAGTGAGATGTGTCTGAACCATGGTTGAATGGTTTGCGGGCGCAGCCAGCTTTATATAATTGGATTGATGAAGTGCCGAGGGCCCCAAAAGGTAGAACTGCGCCCCCAAAAGTGGTCATACAATGTCATAACCCTTAATCAACTGAAACACCCCTCCAGGCTTCTCCGACACTCCTTCTCACCTCCTAGAACGTCGACCTGGCGGCCTATCCATGAAGCTTGCTATCATTCTGGCGGCAGGATTCACATGCGTTGGTTCCTCCCCAGCCGATGGGAAAAAGACTCGTGCACTTCTGCCCGTCGCCGCACCTACGCTCGTCGTCCTGTGGTGCCACCAGCTGGCCTGAGTCACTGGGGAAATCAACGAACAAACCACCAACTTCCATCATGACTTCGGACGGCATATGAGTAATTATGCCAGTATATATGCCAGTGCCACGGACATCAGCCTGATCCAAGTGGTCTACACTAGCTGTGATGGCATCAAAACCAGCAAGTCTAGTGAGTTCCGCAATATTCGAAGATCAGTGCTTTCACACTCTTTTGCATATCGTTGGATTCTATTTTGCACTGGAAGATGTTTGGAAGCCTTTGCAACGAACACAAAGGGTCTCAACATTTCTCCAACAAAAATCAAAGCAACATGACCTGCAACATGCAGGTCTTGGTGGACGATACGCAAAATCAGCAAGCTTGGATTGGATTTGCTTAAAGAACTGGAGAAGCCCAAACAAATTACACCTCAACCACTGATGTTCGCTGCTTTTCTCTCAGGATAAAGATCCACTGTGAACCCCCCAAACGGCTTGGAAGGGGGCACCTTTCCAACCAAAATCTGCATGGCTCTGTCTCCAAATCATGAGACCACCGTCTACTTCTTTCGCCAGAGAAAGGCAACACACCTAAACCAATATACATAATATACTGTACATATATATATATATATAGTTTTTTTCATCTGCAACATACCTTTATATATACTCCACCACTGCACCACCACCCAGAGGCAAACCCCCCTGAGTTCTTCAGTGCTTGGTGGGTCTTCACATGTCTGACACCCCCCAAATCCCTTCCAAAGTTAAACCAAACCAATAACTATATACCAAAAAAAACAACATCCAAAAAAACGACCTTATCTCACCATGTCTTACCATCTAACAACACCTCTGCAGACCGGACCCAATGGTCTGACGGAACAGCTCCCGACCTCTCGGCCCGGTCGATGCGGTCCTGCCAGGTCGATCCGTAGCCGGTCGGCTTCGGCCTGGCGAACCCGAGGGCCGAGCAGGAGAGCACCAGGGTGGAGGAGCTTCGCAGAAGCTGTGAAGGCTGTGATCCCCCCAAAAACAACTCCATTCTTGTGAAATCACAGCTTCTGGGATCACAGCTTGGGAGTCAGCACTTGTGAAATCTCCCAGAGACTTCTTGGCTGAGACTTTTCAAAGGACCAGCGCTTGGAGTCAGCACTTGACATGCTAGCATGCTCTCAGCATGCTTTCAGCATTCCCTGAAAGAAGAGTGTATCCGCCTCTCACATCCGCCCCGCACCTTCTTCTCTTTTTTGCTCAAGCCTGGCATCAAGCCCAGAAGCCCCCCGCAACGGTTGATGGGGAGCCGCTCCATCACCGGTGAACTGGGGAGAACCAGAGAAACACCGCATCTCTCTTCGTTTCTCCTGTGATCCATGATCATCCATAACTAATCTCATGTCTAACCTTGCAGAACATGAGAAAGATCTTGCTATGCTGCAACAGGCCAAAACTTTCCAAGGGCACTGAGCCTGCCTTGTAATTGGAGATGTTTGGACATTGGGTGTTCAGGGGGTCCTGGCCTTTTTTCTTACACTATTCACTTATATTAATCCCTTAAGAACCTTGCCAACCAATAGTGAATAAGATATGAAGATAAAAGTGTGACACCCAATCATTTTTAATAGATGTATCGGCTAGAATGAAGAATACTAAAATGAATAATCGTGGGTGAACCGTTCCTAAGAAAATAATAAGAAATAATAAGAGAGTACCAATATATGTCTGAACAAATTGTGATTATAACTAAGAAAATCCTGAATGATCAAAATAAATACCAAATAAACAGATATGGGAGAAATAGGCGTGAAGGATCGAAAATACCAACTAGTATAGCAACAAATACCAGACATATACAAAAAAATAGCAATAATAATAATGGTGTATCACTTTCTGGGACTTTCTTTCTCATTCATCTCTTTACCTTCATTCACCTATAGAATCACCTATTGAAAAATGTAGCCACATAAACTATGAAGAACCTTGTGCACCTAATGAAATGTGTGTAGGAAATTGGAAGTGTGATTCATTCATAATTGTTTCTTTCTATCTGCAGGTTATCCGCTAGGCCACTTTCTAATATGGGAGATTCATGATTCTATATTATTGAGGGATTTCATTAAGATTTAAAAGAATGCAAGTCATAAAACATACATATATATATATATGGATGCTATACGATGTTCTATCTTAATGTGATATTTTCTATCCTTTCAATAGATCCTAATAGTTTGGAAGCCAAAACCGCCTCTTCTCCCAGCTAAGTAAAGGAACTTGTTTTCTCTTTGGGCACGGTCGGGCATTTCTGTAGTGCAATGCATCAAAACGAAACGGCCTTGAAAAGGCGCATCAACGAATGGCACATTCACACTACTTTGCTCAACCTTTCCTAAGTAAAATGCTGAGCAAACTATGTTCATTGTCTCCCGCAAAGGGTCGTCAAACCATCGGTGTTAATGTGTAGGTCTGGGAAGTGAACGACCAATTCGCTCGGGCCGTCTTCCACGCATGCCTCGCTTTAGCATTTGTTTTTGTCGGGTGCAGTGCACCGTCTCATTTGATGAGCCAATATGAGTCATTTAGTCCGGGACCACCACCCAACCCCACGCGGTTGTGCCTTCCACTTCCCGAGCGTTCTCCACCAAAGCCTGCAGAACGAAGCTCGACTGCATGAACACAAACTGAATGCCGACTATTGAGGCATATTGAGGCTTCTTGAGGTTGACCGTAACGCACCTTGCGGCGCTGGCCGGTCCTGGTCGAGAGCCATAGCGATATTGATACAAAGGATAAATCAATCACCAAAAGCTGATGGCTTGCTCCAATGGGCGGTTCCTTATAAGAGACGGCCTGAAGACCTGCACAGAAACTGCGCAAAGTAGTAAGTTGAGTAGATTGTGACACAAACTGTTTCAACGGGGTTGTCTATGTTTCCACCACCCAAATCGCTCTTCGCTTTGCACCTCCATCCTCCAAACCTGCCTGAAATCGCTTCAGCTTAGCTCGCAGGGCCGGCACATCCTCCTGAGGTCATCAGACTGGATTTGGCGCGGCATCGGGCAGGGTCTCCTCCCTGGGAGGCTTGGGGATCTCCAGCTGTGACGGAAAGCCAATAAGGGCATGAAGAACATTGTTGGCAGGTTGGACTCTGATTTATAGTCAGTTCTGAACAGTTGTCCTCTGATTTAGCTGCAATTATCTGCAGTTGAAGCTTTGCAAAATCAACGGGGCATAATATCGGATATATATATATATAGAAGACTCATCCCCAAAGAGTTGTCGAAACTTGAATCCACTGGAGAAAACTTTTGGATTTAATCTGATGGGATGCCCATTTGGAGACACCAATTCATGCATGACATTAGTATATGTTTGCATGTTTGTATACAATTGGACGTGCACACGCAGTCCTGACCGGTTTCCAAACAACTTGCCTGCACAGAACATGCCAAGTCACCTCAAGCAATCCAAGAAATTCATCTGTACTCACGCCTGTCACCCCCTCGCATGCGACTCCATGCGCTTTTTTAATCGCTGGCTTGCTGCCACGCAAGGACCTGGGCAAGAACCCCAAGAGCAAACAGGACAGTCGGTGACACTTACCCAAACACAGTTGAACAGTGAATCTTCCCAAACCAAATGTATTAGTTCCAGGTTGGCGCTTTGCATGAGTCAGGTGAACAAACATTCATCCACAGGCAGGGCAGCCACCTTTCTGAATTTCAACTAAACCCTCTGGACTTGAACAACTTTGAGCTCTTATGAGGCAAGGCGGCTGGGACAAGCTTGTCCAGGAAGAATGACATACACAAGGAAAGGGGTGACTGACATACCTCAACCAATTGTGGCTGGTAAGAAAGCCCTGCTATGTTTTTTTGTGGCTATGAAAGCGAACAGATTTTGTGGAATGTCAACTGTCAACCTACCACGGTTTGGTGCGGGAGGTTTGGACTCACAGCCGGCCTTTGACCCCCTTGATTCCTTGTCATCTTTGGGGCATTCTGCTTTAGTTGAACATAGCTTTCAGGCTTTCAGCACCGGTGTTCAAGGGCACCAGGTTGCCGGACAGTCTGTACATACAGAAGTAGGTTTCAAGGTCTTTTGATCTCCATTGCTCAACACCATTGACAATGGTACAACCCAACGCGGTTGTTGGCTCACGGTGACCGCAGCAGAATTTTCGTCACTTTTGCAGCCCTTCTCAGAGTGACACGGGACACTCACTTGGCTTGGCCAGCTATGAGGGAAGCGCTACACCTTTCCAAATGCGCAACCGAGCCAAATTTGACGCAACAATACGGCTTCCCTAGTAAAAAAAATATATAACATATATATATATAGTTTCAAGTTTCAACCTGTTGCTGAATAATGATTGTGCGCTGCCGCTGGCGCCTCCCCAAGTCCATCCCGATACTGGTGCATCATGGTGCATAGTCAACAATGAGGGAACGCTGGATCCCAGCTGAAACTGACCTCATATTCTCTACCAATCGACCTCAGCAACCCTCCAGCCCTTCCAGGCCTAGTTGGTCCGGCTGGGCAAACGCTGGCAGCGTAGGTCTGTGCGCTCACCCAGCAGGAACTGGGAGATCTGCCTGGGCGCATTGAGCTCCCCAGAGTTGGGATTGGTTGAGCTCCAATTTTCCGAACAAAAGGAGTATGAGATGTGCCTCAGCAAAGGAAGAAAACGGGCAAACGGTGTCTTGTTCTTTGGAAAGAAACTGCGACCGTTGGTCAAAACAGGGGGCACCCAACACCCCTGGATATGCAAAACTAAACCAGAAACATGGTGTCTATTTTGAGCGGCAACCACATACTACAATATACTACATAGCCCTCCTTCTTCTCCACCATAAATTATAGGCCGCACGGGCAACAGCACATAAAATTATGGGGAGAGGATGACGAAAACGGAATGCATGATTAGGTAAATGCTGAAGGGCGTGTTCCTTATGTTTCCCTCTTAAATGGGGAAAGTAAGGAACTCAAAAGGGTTAGTGGTTAGTGGTCTGTGTTGGAAATGACCGTGTGCAGGAACACCTGGGATCAGGCTGCCCAACACCCGCACTGCTTCGTGGTATTCATCTGAATCCCAAGCAATAGGGCCCATAAACGGACGAAATAAAATCCCCTTCGATTCAACCGACATAGAAAAAACATCTTCTTTACCACATTGGGAACTGGGCGGAACTGGGAGAGGTTGCAGTCTTCTTCTCGCTGCTGTGCGTTCAAAAAGCACCCACCTGCAAGCTGCTCTCTGTTCTTTCTCTCTCAAGTCTGACCGCGGAGGTTCACCCATCGTCATGCCTTTTTTGGGTTCCAAGCTAACAATCCACATCATGGCGCACTCTACAAAAGGATACAAAAGGTGATTCTTAATTATGAACCCCCATCTAAAAGACACCTTGGGGTCTGCACCACCCACTCTGAAAGCATTGCTTTTACACCACACCACACCAAACGCATTCACCATCCTCCACGCCATCCCAGTGATGGTCGCGTGTCTCGCCACGTCTGTCTCGCCACTGGATCACGCCGTCGAAGCTGAAATGACTCTCCCGAAGCTCCAAGATCCGCTGCTCCATCGCCTGGAGAAGCGACGACTCGGCCGACTCGGCGTCGACATGCGTTTCTCGTCCCAAATGGGTCCCATCCACTTCCAAATGGGCACGGCACCGAGTAGCCACTTGATGCTCGCGGTATGAATCTTTGATTTGATTTTTTCTGGTGCCATGGTCATAGTCGGCGCTCTACCTGCTCAACCTGCTTAGCATTGCTTAGGTCTCACAAAAGTACCCGTCCAGAATGCCCCAACCCCCGAAAGCAGTTTGTCAATGCCCACTCCACTCCTACAGTATCACGGGGTTTCCAAACATGTTTCACGTGTGCTCACCCCTTTGCAACCTCGGAATCTCCAGCTATTACTGTCGCATCGGGTCAGCCACTTCGTAGTTCCTCAGCCACTCAGTTTCAATTCGTGCGAATGGCGCTCCTCCAATTTGTGGATATCTGCGGCGATATGGTCGAAGGTCTGCGGCAGCTCCGCGAAATGCGACGCGAAGCCGATCTGCTCTTGATCCCACAAGTGGCGATAGAACAGCCATGGCTCATCACTCCACACCTCAAGATCTTCAGTGCACCACCCCCCAAAAAGCATGGACTTGTTTATCTTGTTGAAGCCTCCATGATGGGTATTTGCTTGGTTGAGGTCTTAGCTTAAACTGCCAGTTGTCGACCAAACATCATGTGCTGAGACCCTGGTCCAAACCAGTCGGCCAGGTTATGCTGGGGTTCTGGGTGAATTCAACTGATGTCTTAATATTTCAAATAGACACAGGTAATATATGGTAATTAATATGTAGATATATGTAGATTCTTGATCAATAGAGCAGCAGCATAAAACCATTACATATCGGAGGTCTTACGAATCAAGAGTCTCGTGATATTATGACATATTATGGTGTCCAAAGACTTCCGAGACGCACCCCGGCCAGACTCCCGGACTTCTCCGGACTTCTCCGTTCGCCGACACCGACACGGGCTCTCCGGTCGAGGTGCGTAGACCGGGATGCGGCCCATCTGGAGGAGCTCGATGGTTCGGAAGGAGTTCCGTCCCCAGCCGCGAGGAGAGAGACCCAGCGAACTGTTTTGCAGAATGTCCTTCCAATTCTTCACCTGAATTCAAGTTCGGGGGAGAGCGGGTGATATAGAATCGTCACCTCTCTCTCCTTTATGCCTTTTGCATCCTTTTGCCTTGTATGCTGGGGACCCCTCCTGCGTTGCACTGCGACTGAATCACTGCCATAAAGCAAAAAGAGCAAGTCATTGTCGTTTGAGAGAAAAGGCCCAGGATGGAGGGTCCCCCCAAAAAAAATATCACTGTTTCAAAAATAGAGAATAACAATTGGTGTTTGCATTCCTGACCAAAGGGCAAGTCGCTGCGGGGGAACCATGCAGGTTGGTCAACATCAAATATCAACGTTCCAACGCAGATATTTGCATAGCTCAAGGTTTACCAATCTTCTTATCCGGTCTCATTTGGGTGGCTCTGAACATCGATATTCAGCCTGACTATCGACATCGTTTGACATAACCCCCTGAAGGCTAACATGGACCCTGAAAACCACTGGTTCGTAGAGGAATACAAATCTTCCATGGGGGCATTGTCAGGGTCCTTGTTAGTTGTCCGGAGGGAATTCTGCCAGAGCATGCCAGAGCCACGTAGCCAAAGATGAATTTCACCTCCTTCTGGTTCTTGTCGGCCCAGCTCCGAACATCGTCACCTCACGAGGCGAAGCCAATGCATTCGTGGCAACCGCTCCCAGAGTATACTTACTCACCCCAATCCGACCACCCCTCTTCACACCCAAACTGATCGTGACATGATGTCTATCCCGCATCTCAATGATATCCGAGTTTCTTTTGGCCTCAGTTTTTTTTTGGTATCCACCATCTTATAACTATAAGCACTCTATAGCTAATTACTTCATAACCCCCACATCCGTGGCAGGTGATCCATGTCCCACATCCCGATCGACTCCAGGCGACACATTTGCGTCCGCACAGCAGGCGCGTTCTTCCCACCAACAAAGCCAGCAAAGAAGGGCCGCTGCGCCAGGCGGGGAGTGGCCGGCAGGGGCTCTTCCGGCTGCTTCAGCAATGGGAGTGGCACCTCAACAGAAGCGCCGGAGCTGGTGAAACAGCTTCTGCCCAAACACCGGACACCCCCCAGCTTTGAAGTTGAAGAAGGGCCCGCGGCACTGCCCAAGATAAGTCCCTTTGCCAGCACCCACAAATCCAAATCACTGGAAGTCACTGTTGGTTGCGCACTTCCCTGCTGACGGTGAAATATGCTGGCCGTATCTTGCCGTCAGCGAGTATTTGCCCAAAACATCCCAAAACAATGATTAAACATCAAACAACTTCCATCAGATTCAGTCGATGTCCGCCCCACATCTAGGCAATTCAGCCTTACTACTTGATGTTCACCCGTTTCCTTACCACATCCGGGTGTTTACTTGGTC